AGGTTGGAAAGACTGTGTTGTTTGACTTGCAGAGTGCTCAGGCGCAATACTGTCAGAGTAAAGATCCAGGAAAGATGAATCATCAACATCACATGCCTCGCCATCATCTATAAGGGTTATCTCTGGTAATTGGATTTCAGGCATAATGAAGAATAGGCAGTTAATTAAAGAACGAGTATGGTTGAATGAGTAGAAGAGAGTAGAGAAAGAGGTTACAAACTATTTTATTCTACAGGTACATACTTTCTATTTAGCTGAAAGATCAATAAAGCAGAAACTCAGGGGGGACGCGTTGTGTATACAGCTCTAGTCCGGTTAACAATTTAGCCAGGAGACTTCCTATTAAGGGTCTCTGATTGGTTAATTTAATGGGCCAGCCCATGGGCCGGCCCATTCAGCCTAGATATTCGTGAAGTGTTATCCCCCGCAGATTAGATGTTGGCATTGATTTTTTTTTCACCCTCCGATGTTAATTTCTTAATGGATTTAAGCCACCACCAAAGTAGTATTCATTAGTTAAAAATTATAGAGAATCGAATCAGACTACTGCGCTCCCTATAGTATCAAAAAATCTAGGAAAACCTAAAGTTCTCAACTACATCGAATTCACAAACGATCAGAGTAAGAAGGCCTACTAGGTTGCGAGTAAACAAATATATATCTTTTGACTTACAATATATTTGGTGAATGGTAATCTATTTGGTAATTTGCTATAGTTAAAGCTGTATAATTAGAACACTATCAAATACCACTAGTAATATTGAATATCTTGCATATAATTTGTGCAAATTTGGGGGCTAAATGGGCCAAATGGGCCAGCCCATGGGCCGCCAAGAAAACCCATGGGCCGGCCCATGTACAGGTCTAGTCAGTTGGTTATTCCATCTTCCAACTTTGAGAACGTACTCCTTCCCTTTACTCATGATATAGCCCACGGGAGAAGCTTTGAAACACCGTTTGCATTGGCCACAGGCAAAACAGTTGGATATACTCGATCTAGCACCGATTGTCAGCAACTGGCGCAAGGTGGGTGTTCGCCACTGACCGTGCTCGCGGCCTAGATGAGAATCCCAATACCAGCCGCAATACACTATCCCGATCGGACTTGCAGGAACGGCCGAAGCAGTGCTGCGTTTCACTGCTTCTCTATATCAGCAAGACTTTTGGTGACTGAGGGTTGTAGAGACTTGCCGTCAATGTAGTCTGGTATCAGCGAAGGCCAACCAGAGATGTAGCGGGCTCAGCTCTATTACACGTGCACGAGGGGCCCGGCATCACCCCGTATCGCTGGAGAGGGGTGATGGCATTATCTGCCAATGCATAGCTGTTTCGTCTTTGCTGTTCAGGTAACAGATAAATCTTCAAACTTGTCAGGACAAGATCCCGTTAAAGGAGACAATCGTGGTGTTTTGTCCCGGGTAGACTAGGAATTGACCTGAAACGACTGCTCTCGTGGCGAGAGATCTGGGGTAGATCGAGCGCTGCAGTCTGCCTCGTCACTTGCTCAGCTGCAACCAGAGCTCGACAGAGCTATCCTTCAGACCATGGCCAAAAGCTCGATTCATTACTGATTAATGCTATTCTCGGCGAAGCCGTGGTATTTCTCGGTGGTCATCGATGCTACCCTTCCTTTGTTGTCGCCGGGTGCTGCGATCACTCAGTCGGCCTAGCATGGGACTAGATCATGCCTGTCGGAATACGGAAGATCTCTAATGCAGTGAGAGTTAGCCTTTGGTCGGACAGGGTGAACCTTGGGGGGGGGGGGTGATAGCATGTTGGAACTCTACCATATGGCTAACAGGAGGGCATCGAAACTTTCTGAATTGCGCCCGCTAAATGCGCCAGGCGAAATGGCCGTGTCAACCACGTCTTCAGAAACAACAAAGACGCAAGCGTAGTAAGATTCAGTGGCTTGGCCCATCAGGTTGTTGAAGCTGGGTTAGTTTCGAAGACGATGGGGAACATAGCTCTGTCAGGTCGAGTGTAAAATTAAAGCTCGCTCTATATCGAAAAAGGATCATCAGCGATATTTGCTGAGAACAGGGAGCCACGAATGGATAGCAATGGTAGGGAGATTGAAATGCAGTACTGGGCGATGGGAATGGGAAGGGGCAAAGCACAAGCGGGACTTACAAGGCATTGAGCGACTCGCGATAGGAAGTTTTCCATCCTACAGAGAGGGTCGTCAGCACATGATATCTGCCTTTCAGATTCCTGCAAAATTCAAAACTTACGTTGTCAGTTATTGCTGTCCGCTGCAGGGACTGTATAAAGGATGTCATCTATCTATCGTCATACATCAGCAAGTAGCTTATGAAGGCAACTTGTAACTCACTATGCTCGCAGTTTGGACCATTCCAGGTCCCTAAAGGTTCGTTCAATGGCTTCTCCGAGGAATAGCGGAGGTGGGGGTGATATCGAGCATCTTCCAAGTTAGCATGATTCTAAATGACTGGGAAGCTACACTCACTTGTTGTTGGAAGACTTTATTACCAAGAAATGTTAGGCTACTGCGACATAAGAGGTCAGTTCATTTCGTTGCATGATTTGAAGGTCAATCCATACCAAAGAGTAGCCACGGAGAAGAATCAAGTTCGATATACTTTCACCCATAATCACAAAGGAATGCTTGCGAACGACTGTTTTGCTGGCGAGGGACCGGGTATTTATAGTAATTCAGCCAAGAATTCGGTCTGCGTCAATGAGGTCATCATTGTGAATTATGAGGGCTCAAGCTCAAACTACTCTTCAATGATAAGTGGCTCAACATTTCATCACTGGTTCAGAGCGGCTCTCAGAGGCACTGAATTTTGCGCCTGGTGTTCCGAAACATGAGAAAAATTTTCTGGCTGTTCGCATCGTGTAACCAGTCGTGAGAATGCCACAAAAAGAATTGATGACAGTTATCAACGTTCGCCACCGTCAGTCCGCCCTTTATTGCGAGGGGTGAGGTGACGAAGTCATGTCATTTCATTTCACTCACCGGCGATGAGCCCGTTAGTCCCCGCGATAGCAACTCATCAAAGGCAGGCAAACACCATGCCATATTGCGACCCTAGATCTTAACCAGCCAAACCAAAGTGCTCTTCATTGCCTACCTCACATATCGGAGAAAATGCATCACACCTACAAAATATCAAGTAGATCTAAGCTATGGTATGGCGCGGCACTGATTCACGCAGAACTATTTCACGACAGAGTCCCTTGTACAGTGTCAGTTATTAGGTCAATTACGTTTTCGTAACACAAGCCTCCGCGGCCAGTCGCTTTTTTGCAAACTTATTACCCACATCAATCCCCTGGGAATGAGGTGGATGTGGATGTTAGGGATTACTACTCGGAGATATAAACCAATTAGTGCAATGAATGGACCGCATATGCGCTGGTCTTCTGTGAAATCATTGCCTAGTATCTGGCCATGGCTCCCAGGAGCCTGTGGGTCCTCGATTAGAATGCTATATGATTGGATATTAGTGTGCTTATACCAATCAAGGAATAATGAGCCAATCGATGCCATGGATGACCAACATGTATCACCTGGTCTCTGTAGATATGATTGGTTCAAGTTTATGTGAGGGTCTCACGAATCTTTGGATGAGGAGCGTGTCTCCTACACACACACACACACAATTCATTAACGCCCGGCGGCTGAACCGAAAGGGCAAATATCACTGATCTAAAAATACATGCCTTAGCTAATGCTATGCCTCCTTGGAGCCCATACAGGATTTCTTTCAGTATATGTCATCTCAGATATCAATATCTTGGCTGGTCCTTGTGGGTTAGTCTTTGGTTAGTAGACCTGCTTGAAGGCGCTTCTCCAAGTGTTCAGCATCCTATCCTCGGCAGTTGAAGCGCGTCTACCGTCTCTGGCACAAGGTAGTTGGTGGGGGTTAGATTAGGGTTGGGTTGGGGTAGGGTTGATTTGTGTTGGTTGACACGGCTAAGTGGCGTCGAGTCGGCCCGTGGCGATTGCAACCCGTATTATGGCTCGCACTGCTTCTAGATTCGGCGTCCAGTTCTGATCATCTGACGGCGACTTTCCGCCCAGGAAGAGGGATATATTCCCTCGGTGAGTATGGGTACATTTTAGCATTCCTATCCGGTGTGCGGTCCACTTCCGACATCGAAAGAGGAAGTGTTCCACGGTCTTTCTTGCTTGTCCACATGCACATTGATCCTTCTCTGCGACGTTGATTCGATAAAGATATCCATTAAGTCTTGCCATGCCAGTCTGGAGTTGGGCCAGCACGCTCGCTTCTTTCCACGATAACCGACCATACAACTTGCCGGGTATGTTTTCCTGGGAGTGCTGCATCCACTCGTTTGGAATGTCGTCCGACGTTCTGTGGCAGGCCGTACTTCTCCACTGCGTGTGAGATCCGCTCTGCGACGACCGATTCCAGAATATTCCCCAGGGTCGCAAGGAGCGAAATTGGCCTCCATGCTTTGGCAATGGTGTAATTTTCTTTATTCGGTTTTTTGAGCGGTATGATTTTCGCATGTCTCCACTGCTTGGGTAACGTGCCTTCTTCCAGCGACGCCTGGAATAGCTCCAAGACCCTGTGCTTGACTACGTGCCATGTCATCTTCCAGATTATCGCCGGCAGACCATCTTTGCCCGGCGTTTTCCAAGGCTTTGCGACCAACAGCTGCCGTTCGACCTCTTCCAAGGTGATGACCAGCATCTCTATCGGCGCTCTTAGCGATTGATTTGTGTAGGTGATTGCATGCGTCGTCCAAAGCTGGGCGTCCCTTCCTCTACGTAGACCGATGCCATAAAAACCAGTTGATCGGGGAGCCGGATGACTCCTTTGGAGCTTTCAAGTGATTTTCGGGAAGCTCACCTCATATCTCAAGTATTTTTCAAGGATGCGCTGATATGTTTCTGATCTGCATAAACCAGTGCAATGACTAGCAGTAATCCACAGCTCATCGGGGGTCGCAACCTCACGCAATCTTCCGCCGAGCAACGAGGCCAGTAGCTCAATCCTCTCTTTCTAAAGTAAGCAGGGAACCTTAAGCGGGTTGGTGAGCATACCGAACTTATAAAGCAGCCGTGGTCTTTTGAACGGTATAGCTTCGGGCCACCAGTCTCGTTTGAAATCATCACATATCTGATCTTAGGCTCGATGATATTGACCCAGAGCCCGACAAGGTCCTCACAGACATAGTAAGGTAAGGCTTCAAGCTCATGCTCATAAAGTGACGATGTAGTGCTAGGATTACCGCCGGCTTTGGCTAATAACGAGACATCAGAATCTGGTCGCAGGTTTCAACTAGCATACTGACCGGCTTTGAACTTTCTTTTGGGAGGAATAAACTTGAATTCTGTAGCATGCCCAGTTTGAGCAAGAGCTTGCAAATAGGCACAAAACTCGGCTCCCACCTCTCCCACCTGATGAAATCTCCATGCCTATCGTAGAATTCTGCTGACACGACCTGAAAGACCCATGGCAAGGATTGCAATAAAGTATATAGTAGCCCTGATCAGATGTTTGGAAATATTGAACAAACTGACTGCCCATTTCTAGATGCCAGACAAAACGCGGTAGTGTAGTCTCAATAGCAACATCGAAAGTGGTGAAGCGCAGGAATGCAGAGCTTGAATGACTGTTTCTTGCGCGGCGCAAACGCACTGACCGTCGTCGCGGAAGCCGAAAGCCATGGCGAAGGTGAACAGCCAGTTGTGGCTCGTGCGTAGTTCGGTTAACAGGTACGCTCGGCCCCTGGGTAGGCTTCCGTATAATCTTCGGGTGTACGCCGCCGGTAGATTGCTGTCAATCTTCCGTAAATGACCGCCGTTGGTGCTATATTTCCACTCCTGCTTCCACTGAGCTTGAATCTTATCGCGGGTATACGCGTTCTCCCTCGTCAGCAGCGGGCGGAAGGGGTAGGTTTTGTCACTTCCAGAAGAGAATTTTCAGCAGAGTCGGCATTGGTAGTTTCCGCCTTTCTTCTTGTTGTATATCGACGCCCATCAACCGAGATACAACCATCTGCGCTGTCCGAACACCGTAACTCATGTCTGCGCACGAATACCGCGGCATATCTACAAATTGCCCAATCAAGCCAATATTGCAGGTATTCTGGGGTATGACCTCAGGGCGGTCGCGCGAGGAGTGGGCTAATAGAATGCTACTCATTCTGGGCATCACGCGCGGAATGGTCACAGTGCGCCGAATGATTATCTCGGGCAGGATTTCCAGATGCCAGAGCAGTTCGGTCATGATCTCTGCGCCCGAACACTCGAGCATTGGCTTCCTCACGTAGCTCCCTTTACCCCACGGAAAGAGTGCAAAGCCCCAAAGAATGCGCACGTTGTACGGCTGCTCGAAGAAAACCGGCTGTGTGGGAATACAGATATTCAATCTCCAGTTACTTTCGGGTAAGGTGATGAATGCTCCAGCGCCGACCATAGAATGTGATAATGCACTGATCTGCTGGAAAAAGGTTAAATCCTCAGTAGTGATTGTGAAGGATTCCATCATCGATTCAGGTTTACGAGTGCAGAAATTATAGGGATTGCCGAATTTGCGGTCTCTGGTTCCAAGTTCCAACCATAGTGACCAATTTTCGTCCAGTTCCTCGCCTGTTTCGACTGGCTGCCAAATTGGTTGATGGTCGTTCGTTCCTGTTGCTGAGCCGGAGACAGTAGATCCTAGTGTCATGATAACAATGTCGTTTTGTCCAAGTTGTTTCCGTGTTCCAAATCCTCCCTGAATAAGCTCCAGTTGTGAAATGGTTTGGTGACTGTTGTGGGAAATCATCGCAATATCGGCAACCTTCGTGTCAAACTGGAAATCCACCCCCAGGCTGTGAAGAAATCGATACACGGGCATGAGAATATACTCATGCTGGTAGTAACCCGTAATATCCAGGCAGCTCAAGATACTCAAGCTGTGGAATTCGTTGAGGTATAGACGGAGAGAACGCCTGAATTCTGCTGCACTATGCCATGTCTGAAAGCCGAATCTGAAGGATTTTGCAATATATTAGTCAGAATTGGCAGAAAAGCGTCCTAATCAACTCGAAGAAATCACGCACTGAGCAGACCAGACAACCCAAAATGAGCTTTGGAAGAAGCTATTGGGCAAACAGTCTTGTATCTGGTTTCTCCCTAAACGTTTCTCCCGCTTCAGAATAAACCATATTAGCTGCAGACGTTGTTTAGAGCTCAAGTTCAATGACTTGGTAGGGATATTTCTCAGAGTGCTATTCCTTTTCACCACGAAACGTGTGCCGTGATCATATGTAACAGATGTTCGGTTTATTTCTGCGTTCTGAATGTCTTCCAAAACAGTCTGTCCCTGGTTCCCGACCGAAGGGACAGAAGCAAGGAGCTCTTTCAAAGGTGTGCCGACCGGAACAGGCAAGCACCCTGCGAACTGGTCATATCCGGCCATAGAGTTACCCTTGTGGTGCAGGGCATTTTCGATTGACACGTTGGAATCCAGGACATGTACCTTGGGGGCAGGTATCTTGACATTCTGAACAAGATACAATGCGGCCGCAAAGGATGCGGTCCCACTCCCAAGAATCCAAGCTTCGGTTGTCTCCGGAGAACGCTTTTTTCCAGCTTGGAGATCTTTCTTGTTCATCTTAGACTTAGCAATGCAGTGAAAAAGTAGAGTCGGATTGTTATAAACCGTCACGAGCAAAATAATTGAATAAACAAAAAGTGGGTGCAAGGGATGATTCAATTCAATTTCCATTATAATATAGCCGTTAAAATCTAGATCCCCGCACTTATGGTCGGCACAGAAGGTGGCAATAATGACGACATCTCGAATGGCTTATTTTTCACAAGTAACCAATCAAAATGTGCCTGCTTGTCCCCACGTGGAGGCTGTTAGACTGTTGGTGCAGCAAGGCGAACGGCTCAGGATCAACCAAGGCACTTTGGCGATGCATGACACGGCTCTGGGGATTGCTTCTCGTGCTGGGAGCTTAGAAATGGTCCGGACTTTGTTAGAACACGAGAAGATTGCTCCCGACCTAGAGAACCGATGGATGGAATCGCCGCTGAAATTGGCGGTCAAAGTGGCACATGCTCTCGTCGTTGACGCGCTGGTAGCGGATCAGAGGGTGGATACATATAGCTTGCGAGAGGCACGAGCAATCGCAACTCATGAGAGCATCCGAATGGCCATCCAGCACGAGAATGATGGTCGCAGAACTTGCCGCGGACGGGTCGCAGCTTCACGGACTGAAGGCACATTGGCCCTCGGCTTAGTGGACGCGGGTCGCAAGCACAGACCACTGAGAAGACGCTAAGGCGATACTGCTTGAGATATTTGCTGTGAGCCGCAGAAAAGTGGTCGACTAGTTAGAACTCACGATATGTGGCGTGCACTGGAATGTGAAACCGTGAAAAATAAACTTCTCATCAATCTAACGACACATGGTGACAACCAAATTGCCTCTAGGAACTGCATTTTTTTCGCACAGATTCTTCAACATAGAGAGGAGTTCTGATCGATCTATTTTTGTTTTTCTTTTCTTCTTTTAACAAGCACTTCAATGTTAACGGAGAGGAGCAACAATTAATCAATCACCATTGAGAAGGAGTAAAAATAAATCGCGCAAGAAAGAAATTTTGAATGATACAGACCGGATGGACTATCGCGTGTCTCATCGTGGAGTCATCACCGTCATTTCAACCGTTTAACGGTGATAAATAAAATATCGTTCGAACTCAGCTATTGTCATACGTGTGAAAAGCACCAACTCGGTGCTGTCAAAAGTCCCTCGAGGAAATTTGAGGACAAATCCCTCACTTCCACTGATTGTGATATATTGCTAGTTTCTTTTTCATATTTGCTTGCTATTGTAAGAGGTTACCAGAGGAATTGGTCTATCGCGCGTACAGTCTTTCGCCGTCCGAACTTCCCCTGTCGCATTGCTGCTGTTTTGGATTATGCGATTCCATTTATTGCATTACTACTTCTTCTACTCGGTACAAGGCAGCCAACAGTCACACTGCGATACTGCTTGCGTGCAATTCCCGAACAATCGCTTGCAAATGGATTCGCATTATCTGAGACAGCCATGTCCGGAGGAGTATTCGCAGACCCGACCCCATTAGAGTCAAGGACCAATGCTGAACGAAGCGAAAGCCAAATGGCTCTTGATTACCGACCCTTGCTTCATTCCACATCCTATCAGCATGGCCCTTCCACAACAAACGCTTGGGCTGTTTCATCCAGAAGACAATATCTTGCAGATTCATCGGAATGGCCACCTCGGTCGCGTTTTTCGACGACCAGGATACTTTTCCGGCTCCGGCCTCGACCATTGGGTATCGATCCCTGTCATTTGCTGTCTGGGAAATATGCCGAGATCGTATCCTTCTAGATTGTTATATTGATCTAAAAGGCCCCAGGCCTCCGAGGCAAAAGTTATTCCTACCTGCCATTCCTGTTCTACGTGGCTTGACAGTGATACAGAGGCTGTAACCAGCCCAGGTTCTCTCGCGCCTGCCAATGTCACTCTATTGATTCTCCTCAAGATCCTCCGGACTGGAGCTTTCAGAAATTGCTACATAAAGTACCCCAGCGGCAGTTTAAATATACACACTCGGGGTGTGACAGCCAATTAAGGCGCCGAAAGGCCCTCGAGCGACACCTGACATGCCATCAGATGAAAGGCCGTACACCTGCTGGGTGCCAGAATGTCACCGCACCTTCAAACGCGCGGACAATCTCAAGGCCCATTATACTACCCATGCCAAAGTGGGCGGCCGCAATCGCTATGTGGCAACCTTGGACAATATGAGTTCTGTCTACAGCCCGGAGTTTCGCGGTCAATTGACATTGGAGGGGTGGCCAACTCATGAATAGACGAGAAATGGAAAGTCCTGTCAATTCGGAGTAATTGTTGATCTATTGCCTGGCAAATTTAATGACCGACAGGAGTGTTACACAACATATCAAAATGCCATCATTATACTCTGAAGTTCCCTCCCGGTCCTACCGGATCTCTTAGATCGATTGTCCATGTTTTCTTGATTTATGCGGTATCACCCTCTAAGCTTCAGGAATAACAATGGGATTTTGTTTCAAAACTTGCGGAACAAGCCTCACGTCGAAAAGTCCTGCGCCACTTAACTCTGGTGCTCGTTGACCATGACCGCCGCCGCCTGCGGTTCCAGGGAATCCGCATGATCATGGATGGCTTGCCCCCTCGTCATTTCGACTCACTGGTAGGGTCTGTGGCACCAAAGTTGAAAATTTCTTATTAATTTACATAACAAGAGTCAAACAAATACGTTACAGTATCGCCATTTGAAGACACATATAGCGAGAGATTCGTACCTCCGCATGGATTATCAAAACGACGACGAAAAGTCTTTGCTGATGGTGTGATGCCTACACCTGCGACTGGCTCTGTTTCGTCCCACTACCGCAAATTAAAGGTGTCCGCTCAGATGCAGGCGCAGATGTCGAATGTTCATCCATAAGGCCACTGACCGTCGTGTCTTCAATCGTTGTGGGCAGCGTAGAAGCATATGGGAGTTGTGAGCTGCCGCGGGACTGGAAGAAAACTTCGGGGTGCTTGTGTATTATATGCCTCAGTCGCCCTCCGCGGATCCTCTTCATGAACGACGGCTGGTCGCGGATTCCCTCCAGTGCGAGATCCCACCCGTAATGGCGGTCCTCCCCAGAGACATCCAGCCCAGGACCCTTTGCGCGGCTCCATATATATATTATAACCCTGGAGATGACTTTATCCGGGATCAGACGAAGCATTACCCCCATCGGTACCGTAAGAGCCCCAAGCAACACGCTGACTGCCCACTGGGAGGGCTGGTCAAGACACTGCACGGAAAAGGCTTTGCCACCGAGGAAAATGATCATGATCTGGCCACCGATGATGATGACCTGAATGAGAATGAACCATCTGTTGCTTAGGATGCCCTCCAAAATATTTAGACGGTTGTCAATCCGGCGACAGCTGCAGGTATCAGTCAGTAGGTGATGCTACCGGGAGAGAACCGCACTACTTGCTTGTACTGGTTGAATATCTGCATGAATACAAAAGTATTGAACACCACTGTCTGCACATACCTGATCTCCCATTTTAAGAAGAGGGATTGACCATGAAAGTGCAGGATGAGCGACACTGCTAGTTGATAGATGGCCTGGCCAACGATCATCTTCCACATTGTCAAGGTGATTAACGGCGCGGATTTGAGATCGGGTTTGCGCTCGAGAACGTATGCTGAAGGAGGGTCCGTCGCTATAGAACGATTAGGAACCTTGGAGAAACCCAAGATATGGGGAAAGGATACCAAGTGCAAGAGCGGCGAAAGTGTCCATGATGAGGTTGACCCACAACAGCTGAACTGCGCTGAGGACAGAATCCTCGTTATTACTGGCAACAGCCGAAACAAAGGTGAGGACGACAGCAGTGATGTTAACGGTTATTTGGAACTAAATGGTAGTCAGTTTCAGGTCTTGGAACGGGTTATGGTGATCTTACCTGAAGGAACTTTTTGACGGCGTCATTGACCGTGCGTCCCCACGCTATCGCCTTGACAATTGATGCAAAATTGTCGTCCATTATGATAATATCTGACGCCTCCTTCGCAACTTCAGTGCCCGTTATGCCCATTGCAAAACCAACGTCAGCAGTCTTAAGTGCCAGCGCGTCATTTGTCCCATCCCCAGTCACGGCTACGGTGTCGCCAAGTTCCTTGAGCTGGCTGACCAAAATGTTCTTGTCGTCTGGACTTGACCGCGCGATAATCTGCAGATTTGGGATGAGCTCGTTTATCCGATCGTGGTTCAACTGGCGGAATTCAGGCCCTTCGATGGTGATACCACCAGGCGTGTAGATACCGCATTGCTGGGCGATGGCTTTCGCTGTGTTAATATTGTCGCCAGTCACCATCCTGACAAAAACTCCGGCGCGCTGACACTGGCGGACCGCGTCGGGGACTCCTTCGCGGACGGGGTCCTGGATGCCGAAGATGCCTAGCATCGTCATGTTCTTGAATATTGGCTCAAAGTATGCCATTTCGCCGTCATTTTCGTGCGTCGGTGTCCCATGTGGCGGCCAGTTTTCAAAGTCCCGGTGCACAAGCGCAATACACCTCAGAGAGCGAGACGCGTAATTCGTTATAATGGTATCTAGCGCGAGCCTATTGTCCTCGGATAGCGGTGCCTCCGCCATACCACTGGTCGCATCTTGCACGATCTGTGTCGATTGGCGGAGTAAGATCTCTGCAGCACCTTTCACCAGCATCCGATACTTTCCATTATCCATCGAAACAACCACTGCCATGCATTTGCGACTTGAGGCGAACGGGAATATCTGCACAATCTTCACGTTTGCTCTCGCCTCGCCCACTGGACCAAGCCCGAGTTGCTCTCGCGCGAATGACAACAACGCCGTCTCCGTCTTCGATCCAATAAACGTCGTCACTCCATCACGCTTACCCTCGAACGCAGTCGAGTTGAGGACGATTGATTGAAGCAAATGGTTTTTGATCGATAGTGCAAGCGAGGATATAAATTTAGAGGCTGACAGAGTCCCTGGGCTTGGTGCGCTGGCCGCATCGTTCGAAGACGGTTGCTCTCCAAATCGTGACGTGGTG